CCCTGGGCCTGCCCGGCGCGCGCAGGCCTCTCCGGGCCCGGCCTCGCCCGCCGGACCCCGCCTCGTCCCGGCCTTGGCCTCCGGCCTGGGCCCGGCCGCGTCCGCAGCCCCTGACCCTCCTCGGAGAGGCCCTGGGGCGGCAGCCTGGTCTTGAGGAGCGGTCCAGCCCCGGGTTCACGGGCCTCTCTGCCCGGAACCACCCAGTCAACAGACCGCGGGAACTGGTTGTGCGGAGAGCAGGGCCCCTGACGCTTTGTGCAAACCTGCCCAGAGTTTGGGGGAAATGTAAAGAAAGAGTGTTTGGAGATACGCTTTTGTCTGATTGGGTAATGCAACCGTCTGCATATTGCAAAGGGCGTCTAGAAAAGGGTTAGCAGTTACTGATGATTCCCAGAATTCTGACACTTGGGCCTAAGACGAGAAGAATCTTAAAGAGCTGAGGATGACAGGTTGTCAGGGAGCCCTGAGGCAGGCAGCGTCCTCAGAAATTGGTGCAGTCCCCTCACCTGACAGATGGGCAGGACACCACCCCTGCCCCCAGTCCAAACACCTGCCTTCTGAGTGAAAGGGGGCTGTTAAATCCTTTTGGGACAACAGGCGTAAATTCCCGTGCCAGTTGGGCTGTGGGGTCACCCTGCTGGCCTGAGCCCCTACTAGGATCAAGCAGGAGAAGGAGGGAATCATCCCGGGAGGCTTGAGCTGGTTTCGAGTCAGTATGGTAGATATAGATATATATGGTTGACAGCCAGAGTGATTGAATAGTCTTGTTAATTTGATGCTCTGAATCAACTTTCAAGATGCAGAGGCTGGGTTTCTTTAAGACCTTGGAAGCTGAAACTGATGTCATGATGCTCTTTAGAGAGAAATCTCCCCTCAAGAATTTGGAAGTACTTAACACTGAGAGGAGGTAAAATGCTTTGTTCCTTCATTCCAGTGGTTCTCAAACTTGAGCATGCATTAGGCTCACCTGCAGAGCTGGGCCCCACCCCAGAGTATCTGCATTTCAACAAGGTCCTAGGGGAGGTGATGCTGCTGACCTGGAGACCACCCTTTGAGAACTATTCTCTTACCACAATTTGCTTTTGTTCTTGTTTTTTTTTGGTGGCTGGCAGGTATACGGATCCAAACCCTTGACTTTGGTGTTATTAACTCTGCGCTATAACCAACTGAGCTAACTGGCCAGCCTGAGAACTATTCTTTATAGAAGGAAATGTACAAACATTTATTGAGCACTTACGATGTGCTAAGCCTACTTTTAAAAGATTTTCTGCGATATAATTTACATTCCATAAAATTCACCTGTTTAAAGTGCACAA